GCTCTTCAAAAGACTTCACCAAAGAGTAAAAAGAGAACCTACAGAATGGGAAAAAATTTTTGGACAGTACAGGTCAGACAAAGGTCTAATCTCCATAATCTACAAGAAAATCCAACACCTCTACAACAAAAAGACAAATAATCCTATTAAATGGGCAAAGGAAATGAACAGACATTTCACCAAAGAAGACATTCAAATGGCAGACAGACACATGAGGCAATGCTCCAGATCACTAGCCATTAGAGAAATTCAAATCAAAACCACAATGAGATACCATCTCACCCGGGCATTACTGACTTGAATTAAACAAATAGAAAATAAGAAATTTTGATGAAGCTATGGGGAGATTGGAACTCTTATGCACTGCTAGTGGGAATGCCAAATGGTACAACCATTTTGAAAAACGATATGGTGTTTCTTTAAAAAACTAGAAGTAGAAATACCATATGATCCAGGAATCCCACTCCTAGGAATACGTCTTAGAGAAATAAGAGCCGTCACATGAATTGACATATGCACACCCATGTTTGTTTTGGCATTGTTCACAATAGCAAAAAGATGGAAACAACCTAAGTGCCCATCAACAGATGAATGCATAAACAAACTATGGTACATACAGACAATGGAAAACTACGAAATGATAAAGAACAATGATGAATCTGCAAAGCATCTCACAACATGGATGAATCTGGCGGGCATTATGCTGAGTAAAATAAGTCAATCACAAAAGGACAAATATTGTATGAGACCACTACTATGAAGCTCATGAATAAGTTTATACTCAAAAAGAAACAATCTTTGATGGTTGCGAGGGAGAGAAGAGGTGGGGATGGAAAAACACTAAATAGACAATAGATAAGTGGTAACATTGGTGACAGGTATGACAGTACATGATACTGGGGAAGCCAGCATAGCTTGTCCAAAACAAGGTCATGGAAGCTCCATAGACACATCCAAAGTCTCTGAGGGACCGAATTGCTGGGCTGAGGACTGTGGGGACCATGGTCTTGGGGAACATCTAGCAAAATTGGCATAACTTAGTTTACAAAGAAAATGTTCTACATTCTGCTTTGGTGAGTAGCTTCTGGTGTCTTAAAAGCTTATGAGCAGCCATCTAAGATACTCCACTGGTCTCACCATGTCTGGAGCAAGTGAGAATGAAGAAAACCAAAGACATGATTTAGGAAATAATATTGGAGTTATTATTTCCTCTCCTTGAGCGTACAGAACGTGACCTAGCTGGAGCTGGGCTCACTAGGACTCACAAGGACACATCAACTGGGCCCTGAAGTATAAAGACAATAGCTAAGATAATCTTGGAAAATATCTTTTAGTCAAAATTCACATAAAGCCAATCAAACAGAACACAAAAGACTTTATACTCTTATCTTTTTCTATTAGCATTTAGTGAATAGAAATTTGTTGGACCAGTGAAGACCCTCCTGACTTACTGAAACCTGTACCAATGATTGTTAAGAAAGACAATTCAAAATGTAGGATCACAGTTTATAGCCCTTATCTGAAAAGGCTAAGCTTTCAATGGTTTTGCCCATTTGTAATGTTAATATATACTGATGATTCTGCAATGGTCTTTGGACTCAGGCAGACATGGCTGTGGCAGCATGCTTGTCCATTTTCCCACTTTTGTCTGTTCTGTGATATTTCCTTGGATTCGGTCAGGCATTCTAGCTCTGGCAGCATGCTTGTCCGCTTCTCATTTTGGTCCTTTTGCATATATGCCGAATAAAACTTTCTTTTTGCTTTACTAAACTTTATGATGTTTTTTCCCTACTACAGACACAAGGGAAAGATTAGTCCAAAGGACTAATGGACCATAACTACCACAGCCTCCATCAGACTGAGTCCAGCACAACTAGATGGCGTCCAGCTACCACCACCGACTGCTCTGACAGGGATCACAATAGAGGGTCCTGGAAAGAGCTGGAGAAAAATGTAGAACAAAATTCTAACTCACAAAAACAAACAACAAAAAAAAAACCCAGACTTACTGGTCTGATAGGGACTGGAGAAACCTGGAGAGTTGGCCCTTGGACACCCTTTTAGCCCAGTAATGAAGTCACTCCCGAGGTTCACCCTTCAGCCAGAGGTGAGACAGACCCATAAAGCAAAAGGAGACTAGTTGGGCACACCAGCCCAGGGGCAAGGATGAGAAGGTAGGAGGGAACAGGAAAGCTGGTAATAGGGAACCCAAGTTTGAGAAGGGGAGAGTGTGGACATGTTGTGGGGTTAGCCAAGCATTTTCACAAACAATATATGTACTAATTGTTTAATGAGAAGCTAGTTTATTCTGTAAACCCTCATCTAAAGTACAATTAAAAAAAAGATCTCTTACTAAATAAAAAAAAAGAAAAGACGTCACCTTGAGGATTAAGGTGCACCTAACTGAAGCCTTGGTATTTTCAAACACCTCATATGCATGTGATAGCTGGACACTGAATAAGGAAGATGAAAGAAGAATTGATGCCTTTAAATTATGGTGTTGATGAAGAATATTGATTATACCCTGGAATGCTGGAAGAATGAACAAATCTGTCTCTTAAGAAGCACAGCAGAATGCTCCTTAGAAGCAAGGATGGTGAGACTTCATTTCATGTACTTTGGACCAGTTCTTGAAGAAGGACATTATAATTGGTAATGTTCAGGTTCTGTGAAAAAGAGGAAGGCTGTAAAAGTGGCTTGGGGGCAGTGACCCACCTTCTCTAACTTTACAAGTGGGAAGGAGAATCAAGATCAATAGCCTAAGGCTGATTCCTGTGAAGCAGAGGCTAGATGTGCCTCCTCTCTCTACCATGTTTACCAACTCTGACACCAAGTGTCCCTCGCACAGCATCTCCACTTCTCTGCTGGGTTTGATAATTTATTGCAACGGCCACACAGAACTTACAGACCATACTCACGATTATGGGGTTTATTAGGTAAGTAACAAGTTACAGTTCAGGCTCAGGAACACTCAAGGATACAATTCTTCCATCAGGCAGCCTCTTCCCAGCCATGCTTGCAGGCACACCTTTCCCTGGCTCTAGGCCTCTGCGCAGAGGCATTCAACTTTCTCTTTCTGTAGCCAGGAAGCCCACCACACCATCTCCTGCTGCTGGGTCTCTGCTGCCAGACCTCTCCTGCCACTGCTTCTCACTGTCTTCAGGTTTACAGTTTGCTCTCTCTTTCTCTCTTGGTCTCCTGCTTCCAAGAGCTTCTCAGCACAGGGATCCCAGGTGCAAAGGACATGCTCTCCGCTCCTGGCTGTTCTTCGTTGGTGGTGGCAGGATCCTCTTTTCTGCTCTGAATTGGCTCCCTTTTAAGGCAAAACGGACCAATCCCCTTGGTAGGCCACCGTTACCCTATCACACAGTCCTGCCGAATCACCTGGATGGGAATTACAAGACTATGGTTAGAAAGGCCACACGAAAGTAATCAATTGCACCACAAAGACCCTCAATGATGTGGATTGACACAGTGGCTGTAACAGCGGGCTCAAACATAGCGATGAATATAAGGATGGCGCAGGACCACGCAGTGTTTCGTTCTTTGTGTGTTGGATTGTTATGAGTTGGAACCAACTCGCCGACACCTAACAACAACATAACAACAGTTTTAAGAAGACCTTTACCTCCATCTTAGTCTGGAGATCTACGTCTGAAAATCACCCAGTGAAAATCCCATGGCTTTTGTTCATCAAAAGACTTTACGAAAAAAGTGAAAAGACAAGCTACCTACTGGGAGAATATCTTCGGAAACCATATATCCAACAAGAATCTAATAACAAATATATATGTAAAACATCAACAACTTAACAACAAAAAGACAAATACCTCAATCATAAAATGGACAAAGGACTTAAATAGACATTTCACCAAAGAGGACATTCAAATGGCCACCAAACACATAAGAGATGCTCAGAGAGATGCAAATTAAAACCACAATGACATACCATTTCACTCGCACTAGGATGGCTAAGATTAAAAAATGAAACAAAACCGGAAAATAACACGTTGGTGAGGATGTGGGGAAATTGGAACCCTTATCCCTTGCTGGTGGGAATGCATAATGGTATAGCCATTGTAGAAAACTAAAAATAGAACTACCATATGACCCAGCAATTCCCCTCCGAGGTATATACCCAAAAGCCTTGAAAGCAGAGACTCAAAGAGAGACTTGTACACCAATGTTCATTGCAGCACTATTCACAATACCCGACATGTGGAAAGAACCTAAATACCTATCAATAGATGAATAGATAAACAAAATGTGGTATATACATACAGTGGACTACCACTCAGTCAGTAGGCAAAATGAAGTCTTGATACATGCTACAGTATGGATGGAGCTTGAAGAAATTATGCTGAGTGAAATAAGCCAATCACAAAAGGACAAATATTATATACCCTCACTTATATAAAAAGACAAGAAAAGGCAAATGTATGGAGACCAGCGTTTATTATTAGTAACCAGGGGTGGGAGGGAGGGGAAAAAAGGGGGTAAAATGTGATGAAGTCACATTGATTAAGGTTATTTCACAGCCGGTTATTATAATTGCCGTCAGTAAGTTGTACACCTGTAAAAAGTTGAATTGGCAAAGGTCGTGTGATAGATATATTCACAATTAGAAAAAAAGAAAAAAAGAGTAGCTGCTGAGGCTGCTATGTACAACACAACACTTTGTGGGGCATCCATGAGTTGGAGTTGACTCGACTGCAACTAGTTTGTTGTTTTTGATTCAGGAGATCAGCTAGACTGAGGATGAAAGCTGTTCCAAAGGCAAAATTGTAGGGAAAATTTTTCCTGTTTCTACTGGTCCAGCAGATGATAAGTGCCTAAAACAGGACTAATAGTTTTGGCCATTGTGTAGGGACATGTTGTGTAAGAATGGATGCTCCTAACATAGCTTAGGAGCTCACATGGATAGAGGGTGAAAAACAGGAGCTCAGACAGGCAGTGCAGCATGTGGTATATCACACTATGTTTTATTTCATCATGTTATACATTCTTTGAAGGCAGCAACAGGAAAGGAGATTTGTTATATTTAGTTACAAACGCATTAAACAAGTAATGGTGACCTCTATTTCAAAACATAGGGTTCAAGTCACCAGTCAGTCTCAGGGCCCTCTCATAGTACTCCAGGGCTTCATTAATTTTTCCTTTCAATTTGTGGATGAACCCTAGGAGGCTCAAACCTTCCACATCTGATGCTTTTCTTTGAAGTTTCTTTGAAGCCAATTTCTCCAAAGAATCGATACTTCTGTTTCTTGAAAATGACTCCTTTTCTATCTTTATTGCTTTTAAATAATGGGTAATTGCATCGACTTCAGATTTCCTTTGAAATTCCTGAAATCGGCCATAGTGAAGATGTATCTCTTGCTCATGATCTTCTTCCAGTGGTTTGATGGATAACGCTTTTTGATAAACATCTTCTGCTTTTCCGTAGTCCCCTGCTTCTATATACATACTTGCCAGGTGTATATAAGCAATAGCAAATGTGGGCTTTTGTTCCACAGCAGATTCCAAATAAAATATGGCTGATTTTATCATTCTGTTGGCTTTTTTTCTCTCCTGCCCTCTAAGCTGCTTGTTTGTACCTCCCTTTATTTGGATCACTTGTGCCCTGTAGCAAAGCCCTATCTGGTGATGCAGGAAGACAGAGGTAGGTGTTGCCTGCAAGGCCTTTTCTAAGAACTGGAGAGCTTTATCCAGAGAGCCTTTTCTCCGGTAAAACCTGCCCACATGTCGAAAAACATAGGTCTGGGAAGACGTGCCGGCCAGTGCTTCTTCAATGTACTTTTCTCCTTCATCTTCTTTCCCTACATCCTGAAGCTTCAGGGCAAGGAGAACCTTAATATATACATCTTCTGGATTTAGCCTGATGGCCTGCCTTAGGGGCTGCAGAGAATACCCTTTTCTCTGTGTTTCTATGGTAACGTCATCCAGGCGATAGATGGTAATCGCATACCCAGTGCTGAATTCAGGGTTTTCAGGGTCCACTTCCAGAGCCTTTTCAAAGCACGCCTTGGCCCGTCCATAATTCTGTCCTCCACACTTCAGCAAGGCCCATCCTTCCTCACAGTCCATCTCAGGACACTCTATCCTATAGCGAGAGCCATTTCCACATTTCTTACAAGTGTTCTCCACCCTGTCCAGGTAAGTCTGGGCTTCTGCGAGTCTTCCCATGTGGTAATACACCCAGGCATAGTTGCCCCAGGTAACCAGACTTCTCAAATGAGATCGATCAGCCTGTTCCTGCTGGATTAATTCTTCAGCCTTTTTCAAGCTCTCCAGGGCTTCCTCATTCTGGCCTTTCAGGTGTTTCACGTAGGCCAGTAGGTTGTGAATTCCTGCATTGTATTTGGTGTCTAGGAACTCAATCTCGTCTAAGATCCTGTTTTCTAAATCAGGCATTTCAGTGTCTGCAATTAACAATGCCCAGGTAAAGTGGCATCTCAACTGCTCCAGCCTCTCCTTGATACAATGCTCATCAGCATTCTTACTGTGAAAACAAAAGATTTTTTTTGTTAGATGAGGAATAGCTAATAGACAGAAGTCAGATAAAATGCTTCATATTCTAGTCCTTACAAGGAGAACACCTGCTTCAATTCGTTAGAGTTCCTGTATTTCTAAGATCTGCATGGACTTTGAATGCAGTCTGCTTGACTTCATAGACTGGCTCCTGCACTTTCTAGCCAAGTAACCTCTCTGTGATTCAGAAACAAATCTGTGAAATGGACATACTAATAATACTTACTGCCTTGGGTTTGGTGAGGATCAATAAGACTATATATGTAAAGCACATAGAGCCTGTTATGTGCCCATATTAGTGTTTCCTATTTTACTATTAATGTAATTGGGACAGAGACCAGTTAGAAATGTAGAACCTGTGAAACGTTATTCACCTCAGGGCCTTAGCCTGTTGATTATGCACCACATTATGACCACTGATAGAAGCAAAGTGAAGGGTACACTGGACCTCTGTATTACCTCTGCAATGTCCTATAAATTTATAATAATTTCAAAATAAAGAAGTTTTAAATATGTGATCAAATATTATCTTTTTAAGACGGTATTAATTAGCTATTAAGACCGTCTTACTTAGATGGTCTTCATCTGGATGTATTATTAATAAGAATATATAGATAAGCATGTTTTCCTGTATGTCATTTATCATGTGTGTAGGTCCATGAAACCATCACCTCCATTAAGATAAACATCTCCCTCTTGCTACCGCTTTATAGTCACACCCATTTCTTCCCTTCCACAGCCTCTGACAACCACTTCTAAAGCACTTTTCATCTCTACAGTTTTTGTCATTTTGAGACTATAAATAATGGAATCATAGAGGATGTGATCTTTTGGGATTATTTTTTCACTGATCATGATGTCCTTGAGATCCATCCAAGTTGTTGAGTTTACCAATAGTTCATTCCTTTTTACTGCTGAGTACTATTCAGCAGTATATATGGATGTATCACAGTTTAACCATTCACCTACTGTAGGACATTATGGTTACTTCCAGTTTTGGCCTATTATAAATAAAACTAATAAAAATAATTGTGTACATGTTTTCATGTGGAAAGAGATTTTCACTTCTCTGGGATAAATGCCCAGGAGTGCGATGGTAGATCATGTGTTAAGTGTGGCGCAAATGGTTTGCGCTGGACTACTAACCAAAAGGTTTGGCTGTTTGAACCCACCCAGTGGTGCCACAGAAGAAGGCCTAGTGATGTTTTCCTAAGGATTATAGTCAAGAAAACCTTATGGAGCTCAGTTTTACTATGGAACACATGAGGTCACCATGAGTCAAAACTGATTTGATGGCAACAGATTTGTTTTTTGTTTTTATGTTAAGTGTGTATTTATTTTTTAAAGAAATTGAAAAAATGTTTCTATAATGGCTATACCATTTTACATTCCCACCAGCAGTGTATGGCTGATTCAATTTTTCTCCATCCTTACCCACTGGGGTGAAGGTGGGATATTACCTTATTACTGCCAGGTAGGAGTGGAAGTTGAAGTTACCCACTTGGCTATCCCTGACGATTGGGAGGGGGAGGTGCTTCTTATTAATGTTGGAGGGGGGTTGGGAGTTCAGGCTCCACGATAGGCTTTGGCTGATACCATCTTGGCTAGGAGGGGCAGTGGTGCCTTGGTACTCCTCCCTTTGTGATCTCCACTGATTGGGGGTGGCAGGGTGGTCTCATTATCACTGGACATTGATGAAAGTCCTGATTCTCCACTAGGCCTTTATGACACCACTTGGGTGCACAAGGGAAGGTGTACCTCCTTACGACCAGGTAGGGGTTGATGTGCAACTCCCTGGGTGGTCTCCACTGACCTGGCAGTAAGGGGGGGCCTCATTACTACTTGGCAGGGATGAAAGTGCTAGCTCCCTACATAGCCTTCTCTGACACCAACCTGTGTGGCAGGAGGGATGAGTTGGGATGCCTCCTTACTGACCGGCGAGGGTGGAAGTCTAGGCTGCCCACTCAGCCATCGCTGGTGGGGTTCAGGACGGGGCCACAGATTTGTTTCTGTGGCATTTGGCTGGAGCAGAGTGGTTATTGTTGAAAACTTTTCCATTTTGATAGGCAGCTACTTTTCGAGTCCTTTGACTAGAAAGAGCAGGCTTTTTTTGGACTTTTCTGTCTCTGCCTGTTGGTGTTTCCAGGTTGCTGGCTTCTCTAGCACTCAGTCTAAGATATATGAGGCAAAAAGAAAGCCTACGAGCTTACTGTCATGTCAACCCATGTGTCCCAAGTTTCATAGCTGGTTTGTTTTCTCTCTTTCACCATTCAGAGTATTCTCAGGTTTGTTCTATATTTAATGTACAAGGATTTTAGCTATACTTATTAGGAGGAATAGGGAATAATATGTCTACTCCATTTCTCTGGATGTGAAAATTCTTCACCACATATTAATATAATTCATCCCACTCCTATCACTGAAATGGTGTCAAGAGAACTGGGAATAACAGTTCTGCTTGAAGGTGCATGTGTGTGTCTGTGTGTGTGTGTGTTAGGTAGTGTGGGGAAAAAGTGTTGTTTATGCTTTTCCTGTTTCCAAACTTAGTTTGTAGGTGACGTAATTTCTTTTATTACCTAAGGGGAAGAGCACTTCCTGTTTCTCACTGCTGATACTGACTTCCAGAATGCAGAGTCAGGCTAAACCCAGGTTTCAAATGATAGAGTTGGATTTGGGAATGTGGGGATGCATTTGATCTGCCGATTCATCTTGAATTTATCCAGCTTGTCTTTTGGGGAGACACTTAAGAATAGTAGATTTCCCTCAGAGAAGGGAAGGCTGAGCCCCAACAGGCCTTCTGCACTGGGGAAAGGAGCCCGAAAAGAAGACAATATACCATATGTCCAGGAGAGCCAGAGAGAGTTGCATTTTTCATGAGTAAAAATGTGGCCCATGGATGGCGGTCTGCTGCTACCGCCTCAGTTACATTAGTCATTTCTGTGGAAAAGAGGGACTAAGAGGGTGGAGCACAATCTCAATGAGTAAATATCCACCTTTGACGAAAAATAAATAAATGCAAAATAAAATAAAACAATAAAAATATTAGAAGATGATCTAGGAGACAATAGATATATGTTCATATAAAATTGTTACACTTTATTTATGGCAAAGGTGCTCTAACAAGTTAAACAGAAAAATAGTAAGACTGTAGGAAGTATTTGTAATATAGATGATAAAGGTTCTCATTCAGCAATATATGAAGTATTTATGCAAATTGGCAATAAAAACTCAACAGACCAATAAAAATCTGTATGAATAGATAATTTATGGAAGAGCAAATATAAATAACTTATAAAACCAGAAATAAAACCTGAAAAAAGCTCGTTGCTGTTGAGTTGATTCTGACGCATAGCGACACTATAGGACAGGGTGGAACTGGCCATAGAGTTTCCTAGGCTGTAATCTTTATGGGAAGGAGCCTTGGTGATGCAGTTTTTAAGAGCTTAGAAGCTAACTGAAAGGTCAGTGATTCCAATCTACCAGCCACTCCACAGGAGGAAGATGTGGCAGTCAGCTTCCATAAAGATTACAGCCTGGAGACCCTATGGGGGCAGTTCTACTTTGTCCTATAGGGTCACTGTGAGTCGTAGTTGGCTCAATGGCAGCTGGTACTAGTGGTAATCTTTACTGAAGCTGACTGCCACATCTTTCCACCTCGGAGCAGCTGGTGTTTCTAAACACACTGACACCCTCAAACAGATAGCAATAAATTAAGAGTAAAGAAAATGCAATAAACTAATAGAAACTTTCTTTGAAATCATGCCAAAGATAATCTCGAGTTTCAACTGAGTTGACCTGCCAGGGTTGAATATTCCTGTACCTTTGTAGTTTTACTTTGACATGGGTGGCATTCCCTGGCCAGAGCCTTCAAGCAGTGGCTCAAATGTTAATAGTGCTGAGGTTAAAAAGAAAAACAAAAAACAACCACGATATTTAGCCTGTTAAACATCTCTGTAATGTACTTAGCTGCAACTGAATGGTTGGAGGTTCCAGTCCACTCAGAGCCACCTCAGAAGACAGACCTGGCATCTGCTTCTGAAAAATCAGTCATCGAAAACCTCATAAACCACGGTTGTACTCTTACAACCATGGGGTCTCCATGAATCCGTCAATGCAACAACAACTGGTTTGTTGGTTGCAGTCACATCTCCACTTTGTGGCCTTTTTGGACTAATATGCCTCATAGGTAAATCTCTGGACAGTCTCTTCATTTGCAACCTCACTAACTTGCCCTCTTTGATTGGATATCATGTAAATAAATATGTATGTATATGTTAAAAAAAATGTTCTGCATCTGGACACTAGTGATGGTAACACAACATTGTAAATGTACTAAGTGCCACTGAATTATATACACTTTAAGTGAGTTAAAATGGTAAATTTTATCTTACATGTATTTTATAACAATAAAAAATTTTATTACAACCCTGAATAGAAACTACAAATTATATGTATATTTTTCCAATACATTTTAAAATAAATACAAAAGCATTTAAACATAAGAACTAATTAATGTGCCATCTGAAATTTTGTCATGTGCACCCAGTTGTATCTTTTGAGAAACATTGGTTTAAAGATTAAATATACTGTCATTGAAATTAGTTCATGTCTCAGCTCTACCACGTTATTATCTGCGTGATGTTAACTCTTCTAAAGCTAAGATTCCTTATTGCAAATTCGGGATAATATAAGTACCTGCCTCATAGGTTTGTTGTGAGGATTAAATATAATAATTTATATAAGACTTTTAGAAGCCAGACTGGCACTTAATAGGCATTCAGGAAGTGATAATTGATATTGTTATTATTTTAATGATCTTTGACAAAACACTTCATCAGTTTATGGGCCAAAGAGAGGAGGGAGTTCATCATAGTCCTGAACTTTCACCCCCTTCAGAATTTTTCCCACTAGAGCACTGAGGAGAAATTTGAAGGTCACTACTAGTCAATGGATTCTTACCTGCTGATATCAGGGGTTTTTTGCATCAAGATTCAATTTGGACAGTCTAGAAATTCTCACATTTATCCCTTCAGTAAAGAAGATGCTGATGTTCCCAAGCACTGAATCCTGCCAAACCCCTTGGAAAGGAGGATGTCAAGGCTCTGAAGACAGGCTTCTCCAGGGGAAGAGGTGTGTGCAGATGCTGCTAATCTTAAATCCAGCTGACTGAGGGGGTACATAGACTGAGGCGGGACATAAGAGCCCAGCAGTGCAGAGAGTGAGACTAGAGGCCTACAGAGGAAGGCCTTGTTCTTTAGTCTAGAGCTCCTCCTACCACATCCCCACAATATTTTCCCACAAGGCTTCTGGGAGACCCCAGGACTGCAGTTTACAGAGCCCGGTGGGTCCTACTTTTTCAGCATGGTGAGGAACCAGGATAAAGCAATGTCTCTGCCCAGACTGGCTGTCCACTCCCTCCCTAGGTCAGACAGAAGTGAGGTGTGGTTGAAAAGGATTCTGGTGGTTAGGATCATTTTCTCACTTTCTGCCGAACTCTTTTCCTATTTCTCTCCCCTTCTGTGGGCTATAGCTTGAGGTAACCTTCTTTAGGGCGATGCTAACAAAAATTAAAATCCCTGAATTAATAAAGCAGTTTAACACACACACATCCCATCCAAAAGCAAATGCTGAAATAGCAGTTAGGAAACTTGACCTCACTGAGACCAAGTCTGTTGAGATAGTATTGGTTAACATATTTTCCCCAAAAACTCTAGACGTGATGACAGACAAGCAGAGAAATGCTTACCCCATGGTTGCTGTTAATTAGACAGCAGTTCTGCAGTGTTTTGTTCAGCCTGCTAGACTGCTCTGAGATCTGGTCTCTCTCCTGGACTTTCAGACAAATGTTAAGTTCCAGGATACTAAGGAGATAAAAAGCAGCTAATGACATAACCTATGGGTGTGTTGTTGCAAACATAAGAGGGAACCAAGAATAGAAAGTGAAACTAAAGCTGGAAATGAACTTTAACGAGTGTTGTCTTTCATTGTTGTGCTTTGGGATACATCCTAAGCTTTTCAAAACTGATTGGGAGGAAGCTGGTGAAAAGCAGTTTTATGGATGTACTAATTCCTCTGAGAGGGGTCTACCTGGCTTCGCAGACACTTGGGAGCTAGGAGATGCCTTTTAATGCATCTCCTAGATGCACGTAGAGCTAGGGAGACCTGTGAGAATTGGCTGTGTAAAATTGAGAAAGTCATGAGCAGCATTTGAGTCAGTGTTTCCTCATCTGAAAACAGGAATTGTTCCTTCGATGGTATACATTTCTGTAAATCTCAAAGCTGGAGATTTAACCCAAATTTGCTCCTCCTCTATGAGAGGTTGTGTCTCACTAATTATTCTGTGCTTTTGCATCCTCTTCTAGAGAATGGGCACTGACAATAAGAGTCTGGTAACCTTTTTCTTAATCAGTGGAACATAGAAAATGGATGTGTTAACATCTGGTGTCCTTCAAACAAAACATTTTATTCTATCGTTAGCCATGTTTTTCTACAGAGGCGTGAGCAAGTCAGAAGATTCTATACAGATAAAATTTTTGAATGAATAATACAGGTTTATCCATGTTTTCAGATAAATGTTCAGGCTATAAGCAAAAGCTGAAATAAGCCAGTTAGAAATTTCTCTCTTTTGGGGCATTAGCAAGGTGACTTTGGAATTTTCGTGGAAAGAAACAAGTGGGTTTGCAATTTCCCAGTGCACTAGATAGCATGCAGAGAAGCAGACAAACGGGGAGTCTTGTTGTTGCTGTGAATTTGGCTGCAGTCCTGGTTCTGTGGGGCTCTGGCTCAGGCTGATTAGGTATTCAGAATCTTGCCCAATGTGTCCTTGGCATAAACAACACACAAGCAACACAGGATAGAGCAGTATTAAGAAGAGAGGAAACAGCCAACAGTGTCTGTGTGTGTATGTGTAAGAGTGGTTACAAATAGGAAGAAAAATAGAAACTGTGAGAAAACAACTTTTAGAAAATGAAACTTCAGCAATAGCCTATGAGTCTGTTTCCAAAATCTAGGAGGAGACCTTTGAGTGACTGACTAGCTGTGATAAGCCACTTGACCTTTAGGAGTCACAGTGTCCTCAACTGATAAACAAGTGAATTGGAATAGGTTAGTGGATCTCAACTCTCACTGCACATTAAAATCAACTAGGGAGGTTTAAAAAAAGCAGTGCTAACTAGCTTCACCCCAGACCAATTAAATACATCTCTGGGAATGGGCCCTAGCCTCCGTAGTAAAAAGAAATCCTCAGCTGATTTTAATATACATCTGGGCTGAACTGATCTAGTTGATCCCTGGAGTCTATTGTGTGTCTGGAATTCTCTAATTGAGGGATCTGGCACTTGATCCCAGGAAGCGCTTTCCTTTCTGTGAGGCCCAAACTCATTATCTTCATTTTCCTGTTCCTCATTTTCCCACCAACGCAGTGGGCAATTAACTCCTGAGTCTCTTACTAATCCACAGAATGACATGGAAAGAGAATGTACTTCCAAAGGTTTTGACCACTATATAAAAAGTCTGCTTTTGTTTTCTGAGATTATTTCTCAACCACTTCCAATCATGTTCATGGACAAAGGTTTCAGACACCAGAAGTCCTTTGTTGTGAATGGTCCATTGATGTATGTATTTTCTAATGGGTCTCCAAGGGTCTACTCAGTCCACCATGATTCACAGTTTGCCTTACTGGAACATAAATTATTACTAACACTTCAGTTTCTAGATTTCAAACTTATGTAAATGTAAATGTAAAAATATTTTTTTACATTTCAAATAATTGTAAACTCACAGGAAAGTGCAAAAATAATACATAGAGTCCATAGAAAGGCATACCCTTCACCCAGCTTCCCCCAGTGGTGACATTGTTTCTAACTCTAGTAGAACATTAAAACTAGGAAGTTAACATTGGTGTGTATTTCAAACATAAACTATGTCATGAATTCATCCTACAAGTTCAGGTCTACAGGATGTTTACTAAACCTCTTTGATCTGACAAACCATTTTACTTCTCCTGGAATTCAGATGCCTGGGTTCATGGGGTTGGGGTAACCTACTCAGGCCATCTGCCCTTAGGTGTCCGTTTGGACCTTGAGCCTTTAAGAAACTGTTTTCCTAAAGGCACCTTCAAGTCAAACAGTAGCCTAGCAAGCAGCTTAGGGGAGAATGTATTGCCTTAGGCATTCGGCTCTTTTAGGCAATTGTCAATGTGCAGCCAGTTCCCAGGAGCAGGAACCCCAAGGTCTGACTGGGAAATGTATGGCATGTCCTTAGTGACTCTGTTTCTCCAGCCACTGACCCTGGAACCCTACATGTGTTCTGATGCTACCTCCTAAGAGATTCACATGACAATGACCTATATAACCCCTTTTTCTGTCTCCTATTAAGATCAGCTAGCCTTCCAGATATGTTCAGGTAGATTCTGCTGGATTCTAATCGTATCTACTCGCAATAAACATATTCTGTCACACTAATTTTTGGTGTTTCTCTGCACATTTAGGTTTTTGACAGATCTTAAATCTGTATCTCTTTTCTGCTGTGTAAGAAGAACTAAACTGAGGCCCTTGACTAAAGTAAAAATGGCTGCTTTAGAGTTTGGGGCCCTACTCCATCTTGACTTTCTTTTAATATATGAAAACCCCTGACTTCTTCTTTGAAGCCTGTATGTAACTAAATGTAAACTAAAAGAAAGTTTTCTCCTTTTCTCTGTGGTTAAGCTGAGAGAATAACAATAAACTTCCCCAGGAGCTATCAAGACCCTTCCTGAAACAGTGTCTCAGTGTCAGGCCTTGATGCTGACTCTTATCTAGGTCTCCTAGGCAACTACTGACAAGAAAAATTTCACTGAAGAAAGCTATTTCTAAGAGAGAACTGTTCTTGTAACCTTCCCTCCTCCTAGCCCCCCGCATCCAGTAATCCCGCCTTGTGTTAATCTAAGTTTGTAACGTCCAATCAGAATAGTACGCCTCAAATTCTTTGTTCTTACTCTTTAAAAGATCTCTGCAGGTTCACCATTTTAAAGCGTTGTTCACTGCATAAAATCAGACGTTTTCCCCAGTCCAGACTGTTGTCAAAACTTCTATAAATCTCCTTGCCTTACTTTAACAGAGTGTTTACTACTCTTTGACACTCCTAAATTGAGCATTGCTTTTCTCAGTGCTACGGGCATAATTATTCATGTAATCTATTCCACAACACACAAACAACTGTCTCAGGATAACAACATCAACAAACAGAAAAACATCTACAGAATAGTAACTGAGTACAGTTTTAAGGTCCCCCCCCCCAACTATTTTTTGGCCATAGGATATATCCCACTAAAGATGTAGATTCAAATTACAGTATGTTAAAATCACTTGAAATGGTTTTTCTCTGTATAGTTTTTCCTCTGTGCCGTGCATGTTTTGATTTGTCTTATTTTGATTTACTTTTTAGGAATTGCTTTTTGCTCTTTTCATCTCAACACTTTATTATGAGTATTTGAAATATAGAGAAAAGTTGTAAGAATTGTATAAGAAACACTCATATGCCTACCACCTAGATTCTACATTTTTACTATATTTGCTTTATCACTTATCTGTTCATCCTTTAATTCATCAATTTATATTTGTTGTTTTTACATAACAAGGCAAGTTGTAGACATTAGTGCAATTAGTCTTTTTTGTTTGTTTATTGTTGTAGTTTAAATTAAGTTTACAGTTCAAGTTAGTCTCCCACACAAAAATTTATACATACATTGTTATGTGACCCTAATTGCTCTCCCCATACTGTGACAGCACACTCCTCCTTTCTGCCCGATTCCCCATGTCCATTCAACCAGCTCCTAACCCTCTCTGCCTTCCCATCTCACCGCTGGACCGAAGCGGCCCATTCTGTCATAGGTGGATGAATTTACGTCTGGATTCTCAATTCTGTAACATTGGTCTATGTATCTGTTGTTGTACCAGTACCACGCTGTTTTGACTACCATGGTGGTATAATGGGTTCTAAAATCAGGTAGTGTGAGGCCTCGCGCTTTGTTCTTCTTCTTGAGTAATGATTTATTTCTCCATCTCATTAAAAAATACTGTTGGAATTTGGATTGGGATTGCATTGTATCTGTAGATAGCTTTGAGTGGAATTGACATTTTCACAATGTTGAGTCTTCCTATCCATGAGCAAGGTATGTTTTTCCACTTATGCAAGTCTTTTTTGGTTTCTTGCAGTAGTGTCTTGTGGTTTTCATTGTATAGGTCTTTTATGTCTCTGGTTAGATTTATTCCTAAGTATTTTATCTTCTTGGGGGCTATTGTAAATGGTATTGATTTGTTGATTTCCTCTTCGAGGTTCTCTTTGTTGGTGTAAAGGAATTCAACTGATTTTTTATGTTCATCTTGTATCCTGAAACTTTGCTGAAATCTTCTATTAGTTCCAGTAGTTTTCTTGTGGATTCTTTGGAGTTTTCTGTATACAAGATCATATCATCTGCAAATAGAGATACTTTGAGTACTTCCCTACCAACTGGGATGCCCTTTATTTCTTTTTCTAGCCTAATTGCTCTGGCTAGGACCTCCAGCACAATGTTGAATAAGAGTGGTGATAAAGGGCCTCTTTGTCTGGTTCCCGTTCTCAAAGGGCATGCTTTCAAAGTCTCTCCATTTAGGATGATGTT